AATAAAAAAATTAATAAAAATAGAAAATATAAACAAGTAAAAGTTAAAGAAAAATAATTACTCTTTTTCCGCAACTGGTAAGCAAAGGCGTTCTAATTTTTCACCTTCTTTTTGAAAAACGCAACCCAATTCAAAAAGTAAAGAATTTAAAACATATCTTATATAATTATGCAACTCTAAAACATGTTTTCAAGCCAGATAGGTAGAATTCCACCTGGTTCTTACGTCTGTTAAAAGATCAAGAGGACTTTGAACAGTATTTCCTTTGGATTGATCAGATTCATCTTGCGTCTCACACAAATGTTGGGCTTGCTTAGGAAGTCAAAAAAAGCCTGCAAGCTTTTGATACGGCGATGTACAGCTTTACATTGCTTCAATCCTTCTTGGACTGATAATTGTAATGTATGCGTTATACACAATTGACGTTCTATGCTGCTAATGTAATTATTATTTAACAATCGTATTCCCTTGACCATGTTAGTATCATTGTCTGTGACAATAGTAAAAACTGTTGTTTTAAGACGCCATTCGCAAATTATTCAAAATAACTCTTCGCTAATTACTTTTCCAGTATGTGGATATGGAAGATGTTCACATGAAAGAAAAGCTTCTCAAAACTTAAAATCAGAGAAAGTCAGATTACTATTACACCTAAGTAACTATATCAGGATTTCGCAGTTCATAAATCAGTAGTCAAATAGATGCTCATTACACTACTACGAAGTAAGGAGCTGAGTTAGTCATAACTCTAGTTATACGCTTCATGTATTAATTCCTTAGCAGTTTTAATACATGAAATATGAAATCCTGGCTCACACGCATAAACAAACTTACGAAAATATCGATTTTGTAAGATATAAAGGATAAGATAAAAATGATAAATTGGATTAATTTCCTTGCTAAAAACTCTTATTTTTTGGCTAGACATGGTAGTGTCACATTATTTGTATTATTGTAAAATACAATTACAAATAACTGCTTATTAAATTCAATAATTTAATTTTACCTCGTTATGTTCATCTAAGTATTGAGTATAATTATTTCTAGTTATGTTATACCTTTCTCGTAAATGGTTTATCATACTTGTTGTATTTTTACCTTTACGAGTATATGCATAAGCTTTTTTATTAATTCCTATAAAATTTAGCTCACATATTTTACAATATGCTAATTCAGAGTTATCATTGTCAACTTAAAAAAAAGGTATAACTTTAATTACTACGATTGGTTGTTACATTAGATTTTCATTTTTTTGTGTAGAATGTGTATTGTTAGGATCATCATCAGTATCTGAAACTGAATGTAAAGATGAAAAAGAAGACTTTTTTTTTAGATTATTTAGATTTAATATTTCTGGTACTCCGTAATACAAATTACAAAATTTGCCTAGGCGGATATGTTCATAAAAAGCAAAACTTCTTTTTTAGTGTTTTCCCATTCTGATGTATCATGTACTTGCCGACTTAACTAATAAGTTTATGAGTTTTACCACATATGGTTACCAGATCAGCAGAATAAAAAATGATAAAACCAGTTATAATCAGATACCAATAATTGGTTTAAACTTTTAACTGGTTATATTAAAATCGGGTGATCGATTTTATAAAATATTTAACTGGTTATAATCCAAACTGAATTAAAACTGGTTATAAATCTGATATCGATAACTAGTTTTAACCTCTAGTCAAATTTCACATCTCACAGTTTCAAACGCATAGTCATTAGTCTCCCCTACTTCCTTTTTTGAGTTGAAAACTCTCTTAAAACAGTTTCTATTTTCATCTAAAGATGAATTATATGAACTGGATGATAGAGTAGAATTATATGACTGATTCAAAGCTTCAGATTCATTGGAAATTCTCTTAAAATGATTCCTATTTTCTTTAAGAGGTGAATCAGATGAACTGGATGAAGAGCTGATAGAATTACCACTTTCACGTGATCGATTCGAAGCTTCAGATTCATTAGACACACTATATTGGTCAGAATTGAGAAAAACAGGACTTTGAGCATCTGCATAATATTGATTTATTTTGTTTTGAAGATTGTTTATACTAGCATCGATTAATACAAATCTGGACACAATAGATTTCTCTAGGGATTTAATTCTGCCAAAATCATTTTGATGAGCTTCTTCAATGTTATTAAGTCTCAAAAAAATTTTCTGTGCTTCTGTAACATAGCCAGCATCACATGCCTTAAAATTTTTGATGACTGTGATGAGTTTACTATTAAATTTGGTATTAATTTTGCCAAGCTCTGCAGTGAAAGATGCATTAATTTCAGAAAGACGAACGGAAAGTTCATTGGTGATTTTAGTATTAATTTTTGTGGTAAGTTTACTGAAGATGTTTTCAATTTTCAATATATATTTTTTGTATCAAGATTATTGACAATTCTAGTGACACGTGCAGAAAGTTCTTTGGAAATTTTTTGTTTGAGATTTGACCACATGGTAGCGATCCCTATGATTAACACTGGACCAATGAACAAAAAAACAGCGGTTAAGGTCAAAAAAGACATGATTCCAAAAGAGTTGAGCAATGATAAACTGGACATGATAAAGTGGTAATGCATAGTAATTTTATTAAGAAATTATTGTTGGATCAAATCAAATTTTTTTAGATAATTTTTTAGCAATAGTTATCTTGCATAAATGTGCTAGGAGAAGGGTTTATTTTATACTTTATGACTACAGTGTGTGAAAATGAGAATTTAACCTAATTTAACTAGATGAAATAAAATTACATTATTTGACCTTTATTTTTCATAATTACATTTTTTTCACCTAAAATAATCCTAACGGTCTGGATCCTGTCTAATAATAACAAATGACTCTCCCTGAATTGAGACGCATTTAACAACAATGTTTTGGAGAAACTGATCAACATAATAATATTCATACCATCTTTGAAATACCCAATTTCATATTAGACATTATTACCAAAAATGGAATAATGAGTACGCGTAATGTTAAGCTATTGCTAATAGAGAAAATAAATCTACCGTTTATTCTTGATTCAAGCGCCCAATTTCTATTTTCATTCTAACATATGATACAAGAATATACAAGATGTATGACATGTAAACCCTATCAGTGTGACAGTTCAATTTTTCTAAAACTCTGAAAGTGTATTACTTCGCATTACATTTCTTTTTTTGAACTATATGAGAAAAAAAGGGTCGAGATCTGTAAATTGGTAGATCAAGATGCTCAATTCCAATTCTTATCTCATTCTAACATCAGGGCATCCGCGTAATGCTAAATCAAAGATTCATAATATGTGTATTATGCCAGAACTTTCTGGAAAAAAGTCGACAGATTAATTATTCATTGATCTATCCTCACGATCTATCCCCATAAATTTGCAAAAATATGACGGCATTTCATAAGACCTTGGACTTAGTTTCATTATTACAAAAATAGCATGGCCAGGATCTCATGAAGACAATCCTTCTAGAATACATAAAAACACTGCAAAAATAGCACAGGGCGTAGTTAAATCACAGGAGAAGTATAGAGATGACATACTTACTGCGCATGATATCTAAGTCATCCACGTGATTCGAAAAAGAAATAAACCTATGCGATCCACCTTAAAATTCATCTAGGTGGTTACTAAACTGTGACCAAACATTCATGATACTTATACTTTAACGCCTGATTCAAAGATTTGTTTTGACTCGACTAAGTGAAGAGGTTTTTGAATGTAAATTAAAGATAAGTATATATCTCTCCAGCTATGAAACATAGCTTACTAATCATTTCTGGTCCTAATGATAGTAATAATAAATTTTGGTTAGGTGCCGATACTGATGATAATGACGATGAATTCTGGCTGTTCGATTAATGACAACGAAGATGATGATATCGAAGATGATGATGTGTTTTCTAGCAAATTATATGACGAATGGGATTATAAAAAAGATTTGGTAAAGATACTTAGAAAAAGCTTTATCGAGACTAGAAAGCTCGTTAACATTTTTCCTTCTTAGGCTATTTACTATGCGCCTTCCCAATATATTTGATCAAGCAAAAAATAGATTATTTATCGCATTTTCTAGATCTAATTCATTTAGTATAATAGAACACAATGCATTATTGGATGCTCTAGCCCATCCTGTGAAAGGTTTAAATCTTTTCAAATATGATAAACTCGGATTTGATCTAATAAACAATGCGAAGATTTATAAATTAAACTCAGATGGGTTGTTGATATTATTTTTCACAATAGGGATTATTCAATGTTTAAAATTTTTTATTAATACATGCGAAAAATAAATACAAAGGTTCGGAACTTGATCGGGATACATGAGTTTTCTATGGTACTATACATGTTTTGTTTTTTTCGAATAGTATTCCTCTAATTTAGCTTTTTTTTTAAGGGGAATCGTCTTCCACATATGCCTTATCCTTACTACTACATTCAAAACCTTTTTCACACTATTGCGTAATGTTTTTGAGGTCCTACAGATTTTTTATCCAAAGCATCTTCAGAAAATTTGATGCTTAATGGTAATTTACTGCCTTGTAAAATCATTCTAGGATGTCGCTTCGCTTTCTCTTTCTCTTTCTCTTATTCGTCTGTTTGATACTCTGAGCAACGCCTATAGGGACTTTATGCTGGCTGTCTTCCATTAACTTAACTAACCTATATAAACTAAGTATTTTTTTTATTCGTGAAATGTGCTTTTTTTCAAATCCGTCTCAGGACGGTTCATCAACTGATGACTAATAGAAAGTTCACAGTGCTTGTGTGGACGACTGGTAATGGCTAGGCTAGAAAGAGTTCCCTTTCGTTTACTCCTTCGAATTTGTTTTGGGACGGTTCATCAACCGATGACTAACAGAAGGTCCACAGTGCTTACGTGGATACTGGTAATGGCCGGGCTAGAAAGAGGAAAAGGGTGCACATCCTGAAAATTAATTTTAAAATTATTATTAATTAATGCACTTCCACATGACATTAGTGATCATGACACTTAATTATATAATACATGACAGAATATTTTTTTTTACAGGTAACACGTTAATAAATTTAGTTTTCTTAGTTTTTCAAATATTTAAGTATTCTAAGTATTCTAAACCAATTTTTAAAAATAATGAATGATAACTATAAACTGCAAGATAACCTGATGGATAAGATTAATCCATACTTCCTCTCTCAAGACAATTCCTTCTCTGACTGGAATAAATGGAATTTGGTATCCTTTTTAGAATATGTGAACGAGAGAAAAACCTTGTCATTTAGTGACAAAAGAGAACTACATCGAAGGTTTAGGGACTCCATAAATGCAATTTTAAAGTCAGACGCGCTAGCGACTATGAAGAAAGCGATCAAGGATCTTAAGAAGGAGGTGTGTGTAAGATATTGAATACTGTTGAGTTTATTCTCAAGCTTTTTAATACGATTCTTCATTAGACATGTTCGGTCAGTGTCGATTTATTCTGGAAGAAAGTTAAAACGGAAGAGAAAATTGCTGTTACGGAGGCTGAATATCAGCATAAACAAGCATTTCTTAAACTAAAGAATAGGTTTGAAAATGTATGCACATTTATTTGTTCTATGCTTTCTTAATACTGATATACTGACTTGAGATCTTATATTTTAAGAGTAATTGAGAGTCGCGAAAGAGAAGTAAAGAAGGATGTGAATGTAATTATAATCGTTGATATGGTAGTTTGATTAAATCAAGAATTTTCATAATTTGTTTTTTGTCTGATTTTTCAAAATTTTAGAAGGCACTGTCGGTGTTGGATGCTTCCACCACAACATCACTATCTGATAATACTTCTACAGCACTACCACCTCGTTATACTCCTACAACACCACCTTATAATGTGTCACAATCGCTATTATAGGATGTTTCCACCACAACACCACCATCTGATAATGCTTCCACAGCACCACCACCTCGTTATACTCCCACAACACCACCTCGTAATGCATCATAACTACTATTACAGAATGCTTCCACCACAATACCACCATCTGGTAATGCTTCCATAGTATCACTATCTCATTATACTCCCACAACACCACCTCGTAATGCATCACCACCACCATCACAGAATATTCTTAAACATTCTTTTGATATTTATGAGATAAGTTACGAAATAGATTAGGCTCTATGGAACTTCGATATTACAATAAGTAATGTAAACATACTTATGAGATTGCATGAAAGATGTCAGAAGACAAAACCGAAAACTAAAACGTCACTCAAATACAGCATAATTGACCTTAATGACAGCATTATTTTAGGAGCTTTGGAGCAATCAGTGATATTGCATTTTGAAGCAAAGATGCAAGAATATAAACCTAAGAAAGCTTTATCTGTAGAAGTTATGAGAATTTTGAAAATATTTAATGTTGTAAGTAATTGAAGAAATTATTTATGAAGAAGAGATATTAATTATAGTTCACTTTTTTAGATATCTTTGGAAGACCTTGGAAAGGCACTTAACGAAGTCAAAATTGATTATAATAATTTGGATCGTGATATTATCTACTTGTGTCGTCTTTTCAAAAAATTGTAAGTATGTGATTATGAAAATCAAAAAAGCAACCTTTTCTAATAATGATTTTGTGCATAGCTTTTTGTTATTTCAAGATAAATCAATAATAAATCTCGATAACAGAGACCTACCGGAAAGCTGGTATAACAGTCACATCATAGCACCAATCTTTGATGACTGCCTCGAATCAATAGATAAATGTATTCTCCAATGGTATTTGTTAAGAATTTGTGTTGTGTTTATATTAATGTTATATTAATAAACATGTCTATTTTTTTGCTTAATAGAGGTGAAGTGAAAAGCTTTGTGCAAAAGCTTCTTGATAAAAAATCAAGAAAAAAGAAGAGATATGATAAGATTTTATCTTTTAGTAAACAATTTGAATTTATATACATAGAGACAGCAACAACTTCTATACTTTCAAAATCAGATAAAGATTTATCGAAGCTACACAATGCTATTATTCCTATGTTTAAGCATATGGTATCTACGTTACTGGAAAAATTACTACACGAGATTTCATCCATGCCTATTCTTTGCGTGCAATTTAGTGGTAAGTTAGTTTAGTTTTATTAATCATAGTAATCGTAGCAATTTTCTAATTATAATTCCATTTATTTAATGCGAATTTTATTTTGTTAATGTCATAGGAGCAAGCGTTGAAGTATATTTAGCAATCTGATTAGCAAATATGCGACCGGTAGTTTTTTCAATTATGGACTTTGAAATAGTAGAAGAGATAACAACATTTCTAAAAATGACAAAGGTTGCCGCCAAAATGCTGTCATTGCGAGTAATTATCTTTCTATTATATCTATGAAGCATCAGTATATTCTTCTAATAGTTGATCTCTATTTGTAGCCTTTCATTCAAGATCTACATAAAAGATACCAAACATTATTAACGAAAGAGGCCAACTATTATTTGGAAGATAACAATACCTGGACATCACCAATAAGGATGAAGGCTCGTCATTAAGTAGTTACTTGAATTCAGCTAAGTTTTTAAATGATAATTATTACACTGAGTATTTATGAAAAAAAACATGAAAGTATTATGTAGTCGCTTTTTACTCTATTCATCTATTATACACAAACTATACATCCCAATAGAATAAAATAAGAAACGTAAATATGCCTGTATCTTAATACGATTGTAAAGCCTAATATGATTCTAGATCTATACTTACAACTTAAATTATGTAATATAATTTATTCGCATGAATGATGGATAACTGAGCTTATTCAGGACACAGCCTAAGAATGACCTCTAATCAAAGATTTCAATAAAACAGATTAAAAATCATGTGATTTTATTCACGGAAAATTGCCAAGAAAAATTTTTTATTAATATATGCAAAAAATAAATACAAAGTTCAGGATATAGTCCAGGATATGTATAATTTTTTCGATTCTAGTCCTCTTGCTAGAAGAAGAATTATCAACACAGGATTTTGAATAATCTATGTATAGGTCAGATGAAAATTTCAAAATTTACTATGATCAATAAGCAAACTATTTTCAACTCTGCTAAGCA